AAATAACAGCGATGCGACAGTACAAGAAGTAACAAATAACAGCGATGATACTAACAAAGATCCTGAACCAGTCCCACCTGCGGTGGAGAAGGAACCTAATAAGGAAGAAAATAAAGAGGACCAGCAGGATCCTGTAGCTCTGTGTTCCATTAAAAGCGAGCCACAGGATGAAGACGATAGCCATAGTACTATAGAAGTAGAATCCACGAATAGCAGTGAGTTGCTGTTGAATCCCATGGCAGCCAGCGGGACAGAGGACACGATCATGGAGGCCGATTCCACACAGAGGTCTAACGCGGCCGGCGGACCGCCTAAGAAGAAATTGAGACGCGGTCCTCATACCCATTTTAGAGGAACGCGTGTTTTTAAGCAGAAGTGCCATCATTGCCAGATATTCCTGCACTCCAAGTACACGTACATGAAGCACATGAAGCGGTTCCACAGTAAAGAAAATGGCATTGACAATTCGGGATCGCAAAACGACGACGAGGAGATTGAAGATGTGGAAGATGAACTGATCAGCATGGAAAAGGACTCACCGCTGACGCAAGTCCAACAGGACATTATTAGTCAGCTGAAAACATTCTCTTGTTACATTTGCGAACAGACGTTTAACGATCGACGCAGCACTCTCTCTCACATACGTCAACATATGCCAGATTTGAGACCGTATACATGTATCGCCTGCCTGACGGAGTTTCCAGATCGATCGATGTATCAGTTACATTGTGGAGCTTCCTTCGAGTGCGCCATGAAGATTGCCCTAGTTGTACCGAAACATGGTAACGAACAATACTTCACGTGCAACATGTGCCTGCGCTCGATGCCTGGTAGGAAGGAATTACTCAGCCACTTGTCGAAGCATTCTGACAAACAGTACGAAGAGATGATGTCGCCAACGCGAGCTCCGCCCAAGCTGAAGCCGATGGCGCCGTTGCCATCGAAAAATAGCCTTCCCGAGAGGATCATTAAAGGACCTTACAAGAACGGCGATCCGGCGCATAATCATGCCTGCGATTTATGCGGCATGATCTATCGATACCAGCCCAATATGGTCAAGCACAAGCAGATGTGCATGCGATTAGATCCGGAAAGCAGAGTCCTGTACAGATGCGTACATTGTTACATGACGTTCCTCGTATTTAAGAAATTCCACTACCACATCACGGCCGACCATAAAAAGAAGGATTTTACTTGTTTCGTATGCTTTTCCGTATTTCGATCGCCGAGTGATTTCCTGACACATCACGAGACTCATCGCTCAACAACACCAACAACAACAACGCAGGCTAATCAACAAGTGCAGCACGAGGATACCTCGCAGAATGCAGCTCAAGCGCCATTGAAGGAACGCAACGCTTACGAAGCAAATGTCAAATCGAGAATCAGTTCGCGAATATCAAGTCAGAAGTATAGCTGTCCCCTTTGTGCCCAGACATTCTCCACGAGGGTCGAGCTGAACGAGCATCGGAATCTCCATCTCAAAGTGAAGATATATTCGTGCGTCATTTGCCGCAGTATGTTCAGCAGCGCCGGCGCCTTGGAGATACATATGAAGGATCACGGTATCGACGACCCGAACGAGAGAAACGCCAATGTTTCCTGCATGGAATACGGCAGCTTGGACGAGGACGTGAGGATCGAGAAAGATTCGGTGAATACTAGTGCCATCTCGGATCCTGGTACGCAGATTCACGAGTGTGGCGAGTGCGGTAAGGTGCTATCCAATTACGCTAATCTCCGGCGACATGCTAAAATCGCTCACCGAAACTGTAAGATGTACGATTGTACCGAGTGCTCGCGTATGTTTATGCGTAAAGATCTATATGATCAACATATGTTAATTAAACACAACTCTACGAAGACAATGCTGCAGTGTCCGCAGTGCCCTAAGAGTTTCGTCTTCCAATCAAATTTCACTTATCACTTCCGTACCGCCCACCTCGAGAAATCGCAGAACGGTTATGCCTGCGACATCTGCGGCAAGGTCTTCGTCGAGGAAGCGTCTTTGAAAATACACAAGGGCTGGCACAACCGTGCAAACTCGCGTCTTAGCACTCGATTCATACTCGGCAATCAAAAGGCGGCCAACGGACCGCAGAAAGAATCTAGTAGCGTCGAGTCTGGTGAGAATTCAGAACGACCAGCGAGAGCACGGAAGTCTTTCCCAAATCCTCCACCTCAATCACCGTCGAAATCGGGAAGTTTCCAATGTCAGGTATGCAATGACAAATTCAACGATGTCACAGAGCTGAGGACCCATCTGTGGGACGTCCACTGCGCTCGTAACAAGGCGGAGAAGAGTTTCTCCAACGACGATCTTCAGTGCGAACTCTGCACGAACATTTTCCCCGATCAGGAGACCCTGGCATCTCATATGCAATGGCACAAGGCCAATCCTATTCTCAGCGACATACAAAAGACATTCTCCTGCGACGTATGCGGCAAGTCTTACAGTTCGAAGAAGGTTCTGTGGAAGCACAAGAGGCTTCACAAGGCTACCGCTGTGGCCTCGATCAAATTCCAATCCTTAGCCAGAAAACCGATGGCCACACAGTTCCTGTGCAACTTTTGCCGCAAGGTCTTCTCGAGCAATCAGTCTCTGCAACGGCATAAACTTTCCTTCCACAGTAGCGAATCGCAGAACCAACAACGCGCGCAGCAACAACTGTATAACAGCAATCGAATATCGTCGTACGAGGACGAGCCGAAAGCGAAGCGCATGAAGTTCGACCTCGAAAGTGAAAATTCGCAGGCCAAGCTGTCGCCTTTCGCCATGGACTTCGCCGGTGAGAGAAGGAAGCCAGTCATGTGCCACGTTTGCAAGAAAATGTTCCCCAATATGAGCGTGCTGTACAAGCACAAGCAAACGGTCCATAAACCCCGTGTAAAAAAAGACTTGACGCCCGAATGCATTCCAATGTCGACTCAAGATGGCAAGTTTTCATGCAACATCTGCTTCAAGGAATTCCCCGGTCTGTCGAATCTGCGACAGCATTTCACAATCAAGCACAAGAAGACGGCAGCTGCCGAAGCCGGCAGCGGCTCATCGAGCAATGACAGACTGGTGCTCCCGACACCGGCCAAGGCACCCGAACGGCCAAGGGAATTCGAAGTGGCCTACAATAACGTGATGTACAGCTGCAAGCTGTGCAAGCAGTGCCACGTCTTCAATAAGGAGTCCATCATGAGCCATATCACCAATGTGCACAACACAGTGTACCAGGCCGACAGCAAGATGTTCCATAGAGAGACCAATCTGGGCGCTTACATAGTGAAGGACGCGATCGGAGCTACTTGCCCGCTATGTGACGTCAAGTATCCTAATAACAGAGCTCTGAAGATACACTATATCAAATTCCACGACGATGCTGATTAAAGTCTGGATTGACTGCGCCAAGCAGGAAGAAAGGTTTTTTTTTTTTTTAATTATAACCACAAAAATCGATAAACCTCAGATCATGATTTTCTTCGAATGCTTAGGCGATATGTTTCCGAGACTGCGTCGACCAGCATTCTGATGCATAATATTCTGATAAATCGATTTCCTTTATCAAGCGATATTGTCTTACGATAGGATTCCAAACCTTGAGATGAATTCTGAATCTTTACAATCAATATGTAAAATCAAGTATACTCTTGCAAGTATACTCTTGCAAGTATACCCTTGCAAGTACCATTGAGCTACAGTTTCATGAGATTAAATGAAACTATAAGAAGACGAATACTTTATCTTCAAATACAGGAAGTGTGTTATTTTAATTGCACACTTCAAATATCTTGGTTGTTTATTTTAGAAAAGAATATTTTTTCTAACTTGAGAAACGATTAAAATACTTGGGGTGTGCAATTAAAATTTGATTATCCTGTACATATTATTACGTTGATCAGGCTTTCCTTTTGCAGATACTTCTACAAGCGACGATCGCTTTTACTATCGCGAATAATTTGTTACCTGTTTCATATAGCTACTGTGTAACTGCGACCAATGAGGTGTGTAAATATCGAATCGGATAAACTATATGTATGGTGAGTTCAGGAAACATGGCAGCCTCTCGGTGTAGTTATAAGTTGATCGCTGCGGTCAGGTATGTCTACGTGACCGATTTTCCCACGAGATTAAACTTTTAAACTTTTGTTCACGTGCTGCACGTGCATCATGTTACCGTCTCGCGACTTTTACGTGTGTATATTTTTGTCATTCCCCCTCCCCCCCGCCCGTATATATGCAAAAAAATAGAATAATTTTAAGCACAATTAAACAATTGTCACCGACATTTTGTTAGGCTTCCCAATATTTTGGTATGATTGCAGCGATAGAAACGATAACAGCCTTGGGGATACTGCAAGAATCGTTTAGGTTTCTTTATCTATACTATAAAATATATTGGGTATGATTACAACTATTATTATGTACGGTATGCAAATAAAAATCGTAAATATCTTGCTTACATGTAACAGTATTTATTAAGAATTTCCTTTTATCGTTTCGGTTGTTTTGTTTCCGCTTAACTTGACAGTTTACTTACGTGTCTGCCATTCCTCTCATTCTTTTCTTCCATCTTCCTCTCTGACCATAGCGCGATGCGTTATATTAGTTTTATTACTAACTGCATACTTGTATTTCGAATGTATGAATTATAGCAATAAAAGAAAATAAAGAATTGCTGATTCTTTTTATTGAATTACTGGGATTAATCGTTAGATAGATAAAGTTCCAATTATATTCTCTTCTCTAATTGTGAGATTATTTATAGAATAATTCTATTTTAAATAGTAACTCAATATAAAAAAAGAGAAATAATTGTTGCAATCGAAAAAGAAACTGCGACAGGATAGAACTTTGAAATTTTCAAAAAGTACATAAAAGTAAATAAATATTAAATTATAAGTTACTATGTTTCATATTAATTTACTTCATTAAGGGATCATCGTCATCAATGGTTACAATCCGAGTGGAGCCTTGACCTCTTGAAGAAAAGTCGTCCTCTGCAGACCTTGGCTTCCTCCTGATTTCGTTACAGTTGAAAATTTTAGATGAGGTAAACTTCATCAAGGAACAGCGCACTTGTTTAATCCTAGTTCTTAGTATTTTGTTTCTATCACGATTGAATATTTTCTCACTCGAAATTCCTAATATCTTGTATGCGGAATGACAATTTCAAGAATCGAACCGGATCTTTTGTTTGATAAACGATTGTTCTGGCACTGAGCTATCCCAGCATCCCGTGAAATATAAATATAAATACAGGTAATCCTCGAATACATGCTACTTGAATTTCACGAAGTTCATAGTAGTGCTCGAATAGTACGATAAAAAACTGACTCTTCAAAGGTTTTTTTTTTATCCCTTGGTACCAAATTTTATATGGATCTAGATGAATCTTGAATTGCACGGTTTTCAATAGCACGGAACGTGATCTCCAAAATGGTATGAATTCTAAATCTCGAATAACACGATTTTCGATAACAATCGGAATCAATTAATTGATTCGAGAGTTACCTGTATATCTGCAATTTAAATATCAACAATTTTTCGAACTTGTCTCGAGTCTCATTGTTCCTATGAGCGATACATTGAAAGGCAATAACGTAATATTTATAACGGTATATTTGGCGACGGTAAAGGTTCACGCATGGATATGGCAGGGATTAAGGAGTAGATACAGGCAAATAATTTATCACACGAATATTTGGTACTTCCTTTTTTTATGAATGCACAAAACATTTTAATATAAACTTAAAAATCCGTACAACAATATGAAAAATTATAGACTATTATACACATGTATATAGATATATATTTATATGTCGTACTTTTTATTTTTTCCATTTTTCGAGTTTATCAATATATATATATATATATATTTATTTATTTGTTTATATTCCTTTGCTATATATCTTTTTTTTTTATTAACGGGATGGAAAACTTCCGTCTCTCATTAAGCATATGTATATTATGTATATATTATTATTAGAGTATTATTACTATCATTATTATTTTTATTATTATTATTATAAGTATATATTAATGTAGAAATATAAAGTGAACCGTTGCACGATTTCGCGTCGTGTCTTACAATCAGAGTGTATCAACTCGCTAAATTCAGAGACAATAATTGTATATCGATAATCGTACTTGCGGTAACGCCGACAATTTAATCATTAACAACGACAGTAATTAGCGATGAGGAGGAGGGGGGTCGGGATACGCGCATAGTTTATCTCGTGACAACACGTCGGGTAAGTATTTCTCTCTCTCTCTCTTTTTCTACTTTTTTTCCTTCTTTTTCACGATAGGATGACGAGAAAAGGTGCGCGAACGTCGCGCTCACGCTCGTCGGATCGTTCGTATCGCGAGTGCCCTCGCATCTGCATGCGTCTGGTGTGTGTCGCAACACACCGTGTGTGTGTGTGTGTGTGTATGTGTGCGCGCGTATGTGATCATCGCCGGAGTGCATTGAGAGTCACGTGACCGTCTGTGCGTGGTACGCGTTAACGTGTGCACGTGTGGGGCGGACGAGTGTGTGCGCGATGTCAGATGTCAGGTGAGCAGCGCGCTGTTAACGCATTATGCGGTATATCTGCACACAGCGGCGGATATACGACGGGCGCTCGGGGATTTTTAATACAAAACGCCTCGCGCGTTTTCCTTACCGCTCTGGGCGTGATTATACCGCACGACACGTGTACACCGCGGCGACACATGGATTAAACAGTAGATTATAAGATACATAGATCGATAGAGACGTAGATTAGGCCAAAAATCTTCTCTCTGTCCCTCCGTTTCGTCTTCCTGTCTCGCGGTGCTCGCGCCTCGGCGCGAGGCGCGAGCCGTCCGGCGCGATTGTTTTGACCATTTTTTTTTTGCAACCTGATATATGCGAGTCTCTCGCGGTTGCGGTCGTATTGTTGTTCCGTTTCATCCTCAACCGTAGGTGTATCCTTTCGAAATGGAACGGTGCAGCTAGCGTTTGCCTTTAGTTTAGAAATCACGAGGCAATTTTCCTCTCGAAGTGGGAAATAATTATTTCGAATAACGATACAAAGTTTATAAATTGCGTCGCAAAATTCAGTCTGACAACACACAGACTGTAATAGAACTTAGAAATACATTTCGTAGATTTCTCAAGGCTTTTTTTTGATTTTTCACAAGATTTGTTTCACTTTCAATTTATAATTATAAATTTCTCGTCGATTCCGTCTTTCTGATTTAGTTAAAATTCAGCTGAACTTCTTTCAAGCTCAAAATTCATTCAGGTACGAGTCAACGAAATCGCTTAGATCTGATTTAGCTTTAGATTTAGATCGTACAGCGCGCGATCGAAAGATCGGGGACACGAAGGGATACACCTCGCGTATATGCGTCTTCGATCGCGGTTTCCGAAAAATTTCACTTTCTCCCCCCCGAGTACGTTAGAATACGCTACATACAAAGAGCTTTACGAGTTAAAGAGGAGAGGTATGTCGTTGTGCTGTTATCAGGCTCGGATGAAAATACAGAGAAGTGAGTCGCGTGTATCCCTCACAATCGGAAGGATAATCAGGCTGGAGAGTATAGCGGAGCTCGAGCGAGTGAAACGTTCCCGGACGTCGGGACGTAAACACGCCGCGAGATACGATTTCCAGAAAATAGCGGTTGCCAGCGGTAACAGAAGTCCGGCGGACAAACGAAAGCGATTTTTCAGCGGAAAAACAGCCGCTTGCGGTTTATAATGAATAAAAAACGCCGTCACGTCTCGTTATATAGCTTAACCGCCGCGGCACTTCGGGGGTGCCCGAAGTAGCGCTGACGGTTTCTCCAACGGAAACCTGTACAAAGCGAGCAGATTTTTTTCAAAACGAAAAATTCTCGATTTTCACGTGGAATTCGCTACACGTTTCTATCTTGGGAAATCACGAAAAGTAGCCCCGTTTTTTTAACGACCACGTTACCCGCGTTCGCTCTAGCGTTTCCGAGAACGGTGCCCGGGGAAGGGCCCTCCATCGCGATTTAATTATTCAGCATACGGGAGTTAAGTTAGAGGCGGCCTATCGATCGAATTTTTAACTAGTCCGCCGCATGCATGTGGAATCGGCTTTCTAATCGCGCAATCGTCGTTCTATCGTCGTTCCCTTTACACTTTGATGATTTCCGGCCCACTTCCGGTTGCCCCCCCGTAACATTAGCCCGCCGCGCGTCGTCCGCCTCGTTCGCCTCGTGTGCAACTATAATGTAAAACCGCGGCCGCGCAATCGATAATAAGCTGCTCGCGAAAATACCCGCGTGTATAGTAGATCCCGTCCGTTTAAACGGGAACGTTTGCACTCGCGGGAACGTTTCGCTCTCGCGGCGTTTTCCTTCGGTCGTTTAGCGAAGCTGAACAAATATTCGCTCGTACGAGAAAAGTACATCTAGGAATGTGTGACACACAGTATACGTTATATATATACACCAGAGATATATATTAAACGGTTTCGCCGAAGGTTCTCGGGATTCTGGATTATTCGTTTCTTTCTCTCTCTCTCTCTCTCTCTCTCTCTCTCTCTCTCTCTCTGCGCTCTCTCTCGCCTCTGCGCATTTCCTCGCGTTTCGCATATTTTTTTTCTTCTCTATTTCTCTGGAACGGCATCGCGCTGAAAAAGTCCAGGAGAGAACGCAGTTTGCATACAAAATGCCGTTACGTCACCGCCGTCCGATCGTGTCGAGGCTAATCCGCGATGTGATTTACCGCGAGAGAGAAATCCGGGTGTAACGAATCGCGATGTTACGGGCGAATTAAGGCTTCCAGAAAATTGATTCGGCGTATCCCGAATCAATCGTGTGGTATCGTATATATTCGCTGATGAACTCTCCCGTTGGAAAACTCTCCCGAACGAAGGAGCTACGTGCTGCAGCTGCAGCAGCCGCACATGAGTACCGGCTTCAAATGCAATATAAATGTAAAACAAAATGTAAAAATTATATAAATGAAGTTCAAGATAAAGTGTAAAACGCACGCGCGAAAATACGGAATAATTATTTATTTCGACGCGATCGACGTCGGCGGCTGTGTTTCACGAACTCTCGTAATTACATATCGGATAGTCGATTATCGCGAAGAGTCGATTTCTCGCCGCCTAACTTTAATCATTACCTATATAGCGTAAATGTACTTTAACCCTTAAGATCATGTACGAGATGTAGCTGCGCTGTTCGAGACTGCCCGATTAATCAGGCGCCCTTGAGTAACGCGTCGTGTGTCGCTGCTTAATTAATTGATCGACGCCGCGAACGGCTGTACCCGTGTTTAGTTTCAGCCTACGAACATCGCGCCCTTAATACTTGACGGCAAGCGCTTCGTCGAGAATAAACTGCTGGAGGATTTTCTCGGCGTATACAATTAAACATTTAAGGATACGTATCGGTTTTTCCGATTACACATGTTCGTTTAACGATCTTTATTAGTTAATTATCATTCCTTATTCAGCTTTTCTCCGACCTAGCTATCGCGTAGGGAAAAAAAATGGGAGGGGGGGGGGGGAGAAAAAGCTAACACGACGATTTACGCGAGGGCAGTTTGCAATTAATCATAGCGCTATTAGGTATACGCTAATAACACTGACTATCGAACATTATTACGTCACACTCATTAATTCTAAAGAGATCGCAATTTAGATGTACGTAGATGTAGATGTAGATACGACATCGATATCGAATCAACAGTAGTTTTCTTAAAGGTAACGCGATTAGCTGTTAAATGTAGGTCTCTCTCTCTCTCTCTCTCTCTTTCTCTCGTGTTTTTTTTTCTCTATCCGTCCGTGTGCCTCGGTGTGCAACCGAGACCGGACATAATTGCGCGTCATGACAGAAACGCGTGATTGATCGCTATTGAATGAGAAACGATCGCATATCTCTCGCCCGACATATTTAATCACGACGTATCTTCTTCTCCCTCATTTTTCATTCGCAACAACGTCGAAACTCGCAACCTCTCTGAACTCAAAGAATGTTCACGCGCTCTCGCTCGACAAGGGATCCCCAACGCGTAATTTCCGTGATTTTACATATTAGCACGCACTTCCTAAAAATTATTCAGAGCTACGAACGAGTTTCTTGATAACACAGTGTGCGAGATCGCGGCGGGATCCATCGATCACGAAGGAAAAAAAAAGGAGGAGAAAAGAATTAACGCTCGCGGTCCCACGAATTCGACGCCATTGTAGCAGAAAAAGGGCCGCGGGTCCCGACCTCGCCATACTTCTGGCGAGTCTTCTCGTATTGGAGAACGCAGAAACTCGGTCCCCTCGGGCGGCTAATGCGATCGCTCGTCGTTTTCTCTCTTTCTCTCTTTGTTCCTCTCTTTCATTTTCTCCTCTCCCTCTCTCGATACATCCGATACTGTGACAAGGTGAGCGCTGATTAATCGATGCTTGCTAATCATACTTTGAGCGCGGAGGTCGCTTGCGAAACCCGTGCGCGTTCACGTATCCTACAGGTGCGCTACATTTACGCGTCCTACGAGCGAGTCGGGATCCTGGTCGAAGGACGAGCGAGGTAACTCGTGTTGTTAGCGCGCTCGATCGCGCCGCACGATTTTCACACGGTTCTTCATTTTATGATCTTCTCTCGCCGGGATCCCTTTATCGGACCGCTGTCGGGTCTCTCGATTCTCCGATCTTTGATCGCGAATTATTTACGAAGATTGGCTTGCAAGCCGATCCGGATTGAACGTATGTACCAGTTTCTCGCGGCGCGCTTCGCGAGAAACAATCGGCCGATGCCGGAACGACGGGTGAATGGAATCGAAGGGCGAACATGCGTGTGTAAGATCAGACGCTCGGGTTTCCTTTACGGAGAAAGCGTAATAATGGCGCGAGAAAATGAACTGTTTCTCAACGATTAGTAGAGCAAGATGAGGAGCGAGCGGAAGTTAATCACGGCGAGCCGCTAGCCGTAAACTTTTAAAAGTTCGATCAATCTCTCGATTCAATTCACCTGTCGTACCCGTAGTAATGAGCCTAGCGCTATGATTGCGTTGAAACGACCTGATAGAATCGTATAGAATCGGCCAAGATATATCTCCGGCGTGATCGTGTGATATACGGTTGATATATATGCTGGATCGCGCGTTCACTTATAATGCTACGTCAAGCCGCTTTAAACTTATTTACATAAGGTATTCTCGCTACATTTGCATATAATATTTAATTAGTAATACTGACAATCTAACTCCATGCAACTCGAACGAATATGAGATCCTCAATTCTAAACTAAGTCGGCAAATTATTTTAGTCGCTGCAATTCACGCTCGGAAACGAACGCAAATTTTTACATATTAATTACTCGGATAATACAGATTTTGATACTTTTTTCGATTTCTATTTCGAAACGATCGGTTTCCTCTCAGCAATACATTCTTCAATTAAAAAAGTTTACGAACGATAACAGTATAAATCGAAAAATGTTATTTTAAGAAAGCGATTTGAAGACGTAATAAACAGCTTTAACGCGAGGTTGTAAATCAAGTATGAGATTTACGTGGAATAAATAATCTGCTGTGGAATATGTACAATTTTTAGCGATCAAATTGATATTATCGTGATCAGTTCAACAGATACTAAAGTTTTGGATTTTATCCTGTTCTCGCGTTCGTTTTCTCTGTCTCTCAAGCGAAGACAAATGACGTGAACGCAACAGCGTCAACTATCACGATACTAATTAATGTTTCCTGGTTTTCATCACGAGCGAGACAAGCCTTCGTCTCCGTGGAACATCCGTTCTCGAGTGACGCTGTTGCATTCGAATAAGGATGCACGAGCGGGCGAAGGCTGGATAATTAACGTCGAAGGTGTTTCGACGCTGTCGCACGCTCGCGCGTTTATACTCGTCGAAGGAACGACCCGTTTCATCCTCTGGACGAAACCAGATTCGTTTTCCGATAGTTCATCATTCGGACAATAAGCCCGCTTATCAGCTGCATGATGGCGATCGATATTCGCGACTGATTACAGTAATCCGGGACACGTGAAAAGAAGTATATCAATTAATACATCAAAAGGCTTAACCATGTCAGCTAAAACGGTGTCCAATTACTTTAGAATGCACATACGTCGTGCTAAAAGAAATGTCGAAAATGGACAAGAATAATATCCATGGAAAACGAATTTGTGATTCTCGGTCGCTCCATTCAGATGTTATTCCTGGAGAATTATTCGGAAAATATATATTTCATCGGGGATTCTCTTTCGCGAGGTCTCCGAAGTTAATCGTATCGAGGAAAGTTATTCATTACGGAAATTATATGTATTAGCATAATAGAAGAGAACGTAAAATCACAAATTCATATACACACACAGGCACATATACGCGCGCATAAGGAAATCCAAACGCTAAAAATATTTCTTGAAACGATAAATAGTCTTCGGTCGATCAGCGATGTACTTCTGACGTTTACTTCAGAAAGTTGCTCTTACAGTTAAATCGCCCTTGGCGTTCTTTGGCACTTAGGGTCTTCCGGATTTCGAACTTGTCGTCGTTTGATCACTATCGTTTTACTCGCTTTATCTATATCCGCTAGTGCAGATACTTCCTCGGCTCTCATCGTTCTATCGCATTTCTCACGTGAACGTTTTCGCGAAAATAGCTGCGATGGCTAATCGATTTTCATATCGGAATGATTTCCACGGTACGAGCTTTTTCGTACTATAGAGAGAGTTGCTTTATTGAGAAACTAAGATACACGCCATCTTTCGTTTCCTTTCTCTCGCTTTGCCGTGCTTATATTCGTCTTACGAGAACACGCGGAAAGTTTTCCTATAGGAAATTATCGCTAAATACCTACGTCCCCCGATAGAATATACGCGTATATATATTTATCTGTTTATTTTAATGTATTTTATACTTATTTTATACTTAAGGATAATAATACTTACGAGCTACGAATATCGTACAACTATTTAAATCCGTGAAAAAAGTATCTAGCTGCCGTGTCCAGCCCCACGGCTTCTATTGTAATCTCTCCCTCTCTCTCGCTCTTCTGGCTTCTGCCCCATTTTCTACTGCTTTCCATCGTGTGAGAGTGTGCTTGTGTCTGTGCGTGCGTGTGTATCGTATATGCACTTCGTGTTCTGTCATTTTCTGTCTACACAGAGGCTCGTATATCTCGACATGTATAGCTATAAGATACATCCTGAGGATTAAAAAGCGCTGAGACAGGTGCTGTTTGATCAGTCCAGGAACTCCAAACACGACACTGTCGATCGACTGAAGAGAAAACTGCATACAGGGTCTCTTAGAGAGTGCTCGTTTTTCCTCTAATAACTCACACGCGCAAGTGGCGAAGTAACTAAACTCGATAAAATATACAGAAGATGGATTTCTTCGGCGGACATTTATGGATTCGAGTCTACGGCGCGGAATAAGTGATGTCACAACAAATTATGTAAACTGAGCGACTGCGGATAGACTATGATAGATTGCAGCGCTACGTGTCGTCGAACGCTTCTCGAATTTTTTTTCATTTTTTTTCCGTCTTTGTAATAGAATTCCAAAGTCCCCAATCCCGCGGGTTTAATCCCACGTAAATCGATATCGCGCAGGTCGCGCGAGATCGTTTTACATCCCCGCGACTCCGCGGAGTTCAGCCAGGAGTCACACCGGCACCGTTCTCTCTTCAGCCGACCTGTCCGATTGATTTATATATTTTGATTTCATAACGACACAACAGGTATATGCGAGTGTGCGAGATTGATACAGACGGGTAGGCAGATAGATATGGGTACGTATAGGTGGACACAAAACACAGACACGGTACGAATATTATACAAGGGACACACATCTCTCTTCTCGCAGCGGTAGAACAACGGTCGTCATATGTCAAGAAAGTCGCGCGCGACTGACCTCTGTCGATTTCTCAAAATTGTGGGAAAAATAACTTCCTTAAATTACAAAATTAAGCATTGAAGTACCTTTAATATCACGCGCATACGAAAATGCTTTTATCTCTTTAAAAACACAATCCCGTATATAAATTCTTTTTATAATTTCTGGCACGTTATACATGAAAAAATTGTTAAAGTAATTCCTCTGATCGATCTAACAATCAAGTGGCGATTAACGAGTAACTTTCAAGCCCTTACGAACATTGTCAAAAGGGAGAATAATAAGACTTTCAATTTCCGGCGGAAAATATTTGCAGCAATTTTCTTTACCTTTATCTTCCCGCATCAACTGAGAGAGATTCGATAGATTCGGCTCAATAACGCCGAAGGTATATTACATGTATTCATAATACTCGCATGTTTGCCCTCGCATGTCTAACGGTAAAGTACACGCCCTACGGCGTAAAAATGTATGCGTCCCTTAAACGTTACTTTAGAATATAAAATCGAATATGCCTGTTTTTACATCATAATACGAGGGTCTTGCCGGAACGACGCAAAATAGATTTTCTAGCGCATTCCCATATAAATATATAATGTATTACGTGCAATATGCGCGCGAAATGCATCGTTACACTCACATACTCAACCTTGCACGCGGTCATTCTAAACTAAACGATCACTTTCATCCGACGATTTTCTCCTTCTCGACGCCTCCTCCACCGAGGTGAAAAATATAACTCGCTTAATTTCGTCCACCGCCGCTCTCTCGTCCTCTCATGCATTCCACCGGCGCAGTTACACCGCAGATAATTAAGTTTCAAGAGGTATATATATAAATGTACGCAAGAGTAGGAAGGATGAAAAACGCGTTTCCTTGGCCGTTGATACTTAATTATTTCTCCTTTATCTCACTTTTAGACGATAACGACAGGATAACATGTACGTACGAAATACTGGTTCCTTTTTTTTTGTTAGCTCGATTTTTGTTCCTCCGTTCAATCATACCCTTTCGTGTTCCCTTATCTATGTTTTTTTTTTTTCAAGTAGCCTAATCACCCTTAAATCTTTGCATGTAGAAACACAGAGCGTAATCGTGAAGAGCTGAACAAATGCTACGCTGGAGGATAAACTAGAGGATTAACAACTACACGAAGCATTCTCGTCATTATATACATATATTTACGAAATAAAAGCAAGAATGAATTTTTAAATTAGATAACATCCAAGGCGTTGCGCATTCTGCTATCGTTTGCTCGAAAACGTGGGTTCGTCGAGTCATTGAAAATCGAAAATCGCGTTAGTATCGCATGACCCAATTTACAGAAATTAAATTAATTATTAAGTCTTGAAAAATATATGATACAATATATATTACGCTATAATATCATAAATTAATTGCCCATGCAATTCAATTAAGATCGGTCTGTACAATTTTAAAAATATCATTTATGAAGTATTATCAAAGAGAATATAAAAATGATATTAAAAAGATTAAAGATCTTAAAAACTATCAGTATTGCTTCTATATAACTTATTGAGACATAAACATGAAAAAGAACATTTCGAAGAAGCACTTACAAAAAAGTTGCTTCGCGAATTTATCGTGTTCCATTTCAAAGATATCATCACGGTTATCAACATTATCGTCAAGTTACAAAAAGATTATATTCGATATAAAACACACCGATAACAAACGGAAATTAATAGATAAGCGCATCCGTGACTAGCATTACTGCAAATATTACATGGCTAATCTAACTTACTGCTCATTAATTTTTTTCAAGGATAACTGGCATTCCGTTGCCAATTGAATTATACAACGCGACAAATAGCTCGATGTAATAATGACTCGAGGAAATCGGAAAGGAAGAACGTAGCGCTACAGTTAGACACACCGATAGACACACAGAAGAAGAACACCGCCGTCCACATCCGGCTTAAATAACAACGTGCACAGCGTCTTTTTATTCAGTAGTTTTTTTTATTGTTTTAATTATAAAGAAGTAACAAAGAGAATAATAATTTTATGATATTGCCATACACTCTTTCACGCTCGCACTTACTCTCGCATTCTATCACTCTCTCTCTCTCTCTCGCTTTTTCTCTCACTTTCTCATATATATATATATATCTATATTGTATGTCAATGTTATATATTCAATAGATATACTCATTCACATATTAAATATCGTGGCAAATATATAGATAAAGTTCTCGTCTACCACTCGCACGTCGTAGACAGCGACCCTGCGAAGACGCGTCTCTCTACGTCGTTTCCATATTTACCGATCGGCCATTCGCAATGCATCCCATCGTCCCCATCGGAAAACTTTCGAAGAGCACCTCGTAGAATCTCTCACGCCTCCCGGTGAGCGATGGGAGGAATAATGAACTCGTTCGGAAAGTTTTCGCGCGGAACGTCGTCGGAGCTGAGCGAAGTCTCACCGTTCCTCGGCATTGTCGTTCTTTCGCCGGATCGATCAATATTGTCACCCAAACAGCTTTATTTTTTTTTTATTTCTATTATGTAATCGTGTGCAAGGAAACCATAGACAGTTTCGTCTCTTTATGCTCTATTATTTATTGTTTTCGCCGGAGTAATTTATTGAGCGGAAGTTAGAGATTCATTGGATCTTGCTTAAGTTCGAAGTTGTAAACAGGAAAACAGTCCTGTTCGTCCAGCTCCGCCGAGGGACGACGATTCTAGTTTCTAGGTGAGAATCCGCTATACTGGACAGTTGCCGGAAGTATCCGGTACTCCAACACTCCGCACAGACGCTATTAGTAACTCGAAATCGCCGTGACTAACCACACACATCGGTGACGAGGACGAGTCGAGAATCGAGGAAAGCCTGAAGCTATACCTTCGAACTTTGCTGGATAAAAGCCTCAAATTGCTGTGTCGTTATCGGGAATTTTATGGAGCTACCTGTTTGAAACAAGAGTCTCGTGTAAAAGTATACTAAACATCATATTTTATCCACCCTTCCTGCCTAACTGACCAAACATCTATTTACTCTTTTCAGAAAAGGTTTTCAAAAAAGGGATTTCAATAAAAGTCTTCCCGTAATATATAATTTCGCTATTAAAATTTATAAAGCTAAATTTGCTATTAAAATTTATAAAGACTTCTGAATTAATGGTAATAACACATGTAGCACGCCACTGATGAGAAAAGTGGAACGAACGCATCAACGATATCTTTATCAAATTTTGTCGCTATATATAATTTCGCAAATATTTTTATTAGCCCAGTATTTTTGCAATAATTCGAAAAATCTGTCTCGCTCGTACTATCCGCTCGTCGATCGCGGATATACATATATATTTCTATTAGCCAACATTATCATCTTTATTCAAAGTTTCTTGATTTCTACATCTCCATATAGCTTGATGTAAGTGTGAAACTCCTTACGCGACTTTATTTCCTTTTATGGCGATCACACACCTCGTCGCGGAGGGACTCGCGCGTTAATGCCCGCGATTTCCGCGTAAATCAATTAAAAGTCCGCGTCCGTTTCAACGGAAGAACACACCGTGTAATTAACGCGTGGAAATTTACGGCCGGGCGTAAGCTCGCGTTAAGGGCACGCTAAAATGAGCGAACGGAACGAGCGAATAAGCGACGTGCACATCCGCGCTAACGGTTTATCGATTTACCAGGCGCGGCGGCAGCGGCGGCGGCTTTAGCGAACGCGATATTACTGTTTTCAATAATTAATGTTTAACGCGCGCCGCAAAATCGCCAAGTTTCATATTCGCCATAGGAAAATTTCATCGCCGGCGCACAAAGCGAATAATATCGCGATTTTCAGCGCGAAGTGCCCTCGTCCTAAATCGTGCCCTCGCTTTCAGCGAATTTTCCGATTACCGCTCCGATATTGAATTCCCATTGAAAACTCTACGGACGCCGTGTTGAGAAAACATCTCGTACTTCCAGCCGAATTAAATTTTCTTTCAACCTATGTAATGTATATAAAACACTATATTCGCACATCGATATCTAGAATATATTTTCTAAACAATTTGTATAAATAGTTAATTTGTCGCTCGGTTATAGCAATCGCCATCGAGTGTGCGGAGCCCTCCAGCTTTCCCCTAAATTTCTCGCGTTCTCCTCGCCACGCTCAACTAATAGAAAACTCGACAACATTGAACTATATCGAGAATTATTACCTAGACTATAAAATTCCAACAACTAATTGGGCGCCCCCTCTAGCCAAAAAACTAATGTGTACTAATACCAGGCGCCCTGCCCTTCACCTCACCGTCGACCATCGTCCTGGATCTCGCCCTTTTAGATCGCCGTCGATCTCTTTTCGTTTTCTCTCGATCCCTCGACGCCGTTCGACCGATTGGTTTCCGGTTTCGAGTCTTAAGGACTTATCGTATGCCCCTAATTTGTCTAAGGATAAAGAATTTTGCCGTACAAATTTTAGACTATCGCTAAACAAGCCTTTATTTATGCTCTTCCCAAATTATCTCTGATCTCGATTCGTTTAGTAAGTATCTAATTAAAGACTAATGAAGTGCAAACGATCTCCCGTCTATAGCGGAGATCTCCAGTCTCGTGTTCATATGCCTTGGAAGGAAATCGTGACACGTACCGCCCGTTTTCCTGTTACCCTTCGACGATCTCATCGATCGGGATCATCGCTCGATCGCCAAATTACAGCTTTTAGACTCGATTAAAGAATCGTGCGGGAGACTTCGAGGGATTCGCTCGACCAACGACGGCGACGTCGAAGGACGACGAGAGATCGACCGACGATGGTTTTGATCCAAAACAATCGAATCGAACGGCAACCACCCTCGTCCACCGTGCTTGCATGAGAAAACTAAGAAAGAACGTTCACGAAAAATATACATCTTAATCTCTCTTTCTCTCTCGCTCTCATTTTCTCGTTGGCTCTTGTTCTTTCTGTCTCTCTCGCTCGCACTCTCTTTCACACAGACACGCACGCTCAAACGCGAGAATCAAAGATCTCCCGTTGCTAGCTTCCTTTGGCTCTCCTCTCGTTTTCCCATGCGCGTGAAACGAAATTTCTTGAAACTTCTCGACGGATCTCTTCCAAGCAGCTTTTTAAAAGCCGACTCAAGGATGGAGGCGAATTACAGCGAAACGACGACACGCAAATCGCCGCGCGTGCGCGCGTTTTTTTGATTATTAATACTTCAGCGGAGAGACTTATATATCTTGCCGGTCGTGGGTTCCATCGAGAGAATCGCACGGCGACGTATCGCGCTATCGGCCGTAGCGAGAAAATCGCGACAGGCGCTCGCTCGCTCGCTCGCTCGCGGGGGAATACAGAATCGATTAGGGGGTTTATTTCGTAATGAGATACGAGACAATTATCTGTCATAATTACTCAGACTCCGTTGCGGCTTGAATGGCGTGGTTAATTTACATAAGGCCGATAGCATCTTACACGCCGCGAGGGTAATCCCGCGCGCGAGGCGCTCCGTGTGGCCCCGACCGGCGAGGGACGATAAATCTTTCTCCATGTGCGCGAACACGGAATCCAACCCCCGACCGCGGAAACGTGCGTATATGGAGCATTGTGTCTCGGGGATGTGCCAATTCTCGACGCGGCTAAATATTTCAGTGATCAAAATTACACACCGATAATAATTTTGGGCTCTCCGTTATTATTATCGCGAAAAGTATTTCGTCTAGTCGGTGTGCTAAAAACCCCTTCCAACTCGTGTTTGATTTCGCACTTTCGTATGTTCGGAACATTACGCTGGAAAATAAATCGGTAATGTAATTATACGCTGTGATACATATAAATAATGTTCGGGTGAATATTGCGATAAGGATCCATATTAGCGAGAGTATGGAAAGGGTTAAAATTATCCAAAGCCGCGGTCGAGGGTAACTGGAATCCAGCACGTAACTTTCTCAGTTACTTGCTGTCCGATCGTGTCTGCTTGATCTTTGAGAAAAATAATATCTGGTATACGCTATTATACTAACAATAAGTTGCTTTGCGAGGTCACCAACGATCGCGAGCGAACGGCCCGAGATCGGCGCCGGCCGTGGCCGCGCTTTCTTTGGAGTTTGCGTTGCACTGTGTCCGTTGGGTTGAAATCATATACAGTTAAAGCTCGCATCCCGGCGACACGTAAAGAGTAAGACTGGTACAAAAAGAACGGTGAATTAATATTTGTAAGGTAATGTAATAATGAACAAAAAGCACTGACAAGCTGCAAAATACATACAGAGAGGTTACAAGTAATCGGGAACAATCGCAATCTTCGGGGCTGGCGTGTCGTATTAAATTAAACTTTGCGCCGTGTGTCTGTCTGTGTACGTGTGTATGCACATTTGTGTGTACTCGTTTTATAGTTTTACAAACGTTGCATACGCGCCGTATGCGATTTTCTGGTAGTCGTTCGGATAATAAATCTTGGCGCCGCTTTCGATCAACGAAAGGACTGTCAGCGACTGATTAAGTATCGTCAGTGTTAATTAATGCGTCACGAGGATTTTTTGTTTTCTTTTCCCTTCCTTTCATCATGAACGTTCTCTCGTCTCCGATGCATTCTCTCGCTCCCTTTCTCTCCCTCTCTCTCGCTCGGTCTTTCTTTCTCTCTCTCTCTCTCTCTCTCTCTTTCTTACTCTCAAACTCTCTTGATTTCTCGTCGTGCGCATAACACTGTTCCGCGACTCTCTTTTGTATGCTTTCGTTATTTATATATGTATATATATAAAAATACAAAAAATAATTTACAAAATGATATTATAAGTTATATTACACGCGAGTTTCGATATTCAATATTTCGTGTCGGAGCCCCTTGTAAAGTCGCTCGACAAATTTCAAGAAACGCTTCATTGTCGCTTCGTCACACTGTTAAACAAAATATAATGTAGCGGTATATGTATATATATAATCGATATTTATATATATATAGGTATGTATAATATGTATAATATATATATATATATATCTATGTATATGCACGTGTGTCTATCTATGTATATTCACGGGTCGTAAGAAACAGAGAAACAAATTCATTATTAACAGGCTAATGTAGTTATCAAACCACTGTATTATTAACAAAAATATATATTATATATATATAATATGGTAGTATATATATTTATATATATTATTTCTCTGACGCGCGACACGCGCACGCCGGTATATATAATCAAATATCATACAAAAACAACAATAACAAACTATATCAAAAGAAGGGTTGAACGATAATCTTATAAGCGAGCTACAATTATAATATTCATATATATGTATTTATATATATATGTATAGGTAAAATCGACGACGCGTCGTCGTCGATGTTGCGTTTTCGTACAAAAATAAAGGAACAAAATCTAACGAGCCAACAGAAAATACATCTCTAATATATATATGTATAATGTAAAAAAGAGAAAAAAATAAACGAACGAAGAAAAAAAGAAAAGAAACAAGGTGAGGTGAGAAAAGACCTATATACAGATATATATATAGGCGCGCAGTGTGTCTGTCTCTTTTTCTTTTTCGTCTAAGGGGTGAAGATAATAATCATAATCATAATAGTAATAATCGTAAGTATACGATCTATACATAACAATCATAGGCGTGCAAAAATCATTCGAAAGGATCTCCATTTTTTCCCATTTTGCACCCAGAAAAAAAGTAACTAAGGCGAACGAACGTGTCCTCACACTCCCATACACATGCACGCGCTACCACGTAATTAATCCATACAGCCAATCGCTCCGTCTTGCACGCATGTATCTTTCTCTCTCTCTCTTTCTCTCCCATACTCGCGAGTTTTCTTCTCTCTATACAAATGGCGTGGGTTGGGGGGCTTTGGAGTAGGGGCAATTAACAGTTACATTTAGGATTCACTTACACGTAGTGTGACAGTTTTTTTTTTCGACACCGAGAGTGTAACTTGGGCGGGGTACAAAAAGATCTCGCAGAAACTCTTCCGCTTTCCCGAGGGGAACGGTCGAAGATGGGTGCCCGTCGCTCGTTTCCGCTCGGCACGTGATCCGCCACGACGAGAGACAGTCTCCTCCCTTTCCCCGAATGTTTACGTTCTCGCTCCATTCCTCTCGATTCTCGCGAGCTGCGGCCGAGCCGGAAGCGAGCGATCGCGTCGATGAAAGACGCCCGCCGAGAGTCTACCGGAAGACACCGAAAAAATCGGAGGACCATTATTTTAGCCGATGGTTCTCCCGAGGATTTCTGTTTCTCGAGGTGATCCTCGATTTCACCGTTTTAACGTTCTGTCTCAGCGTTCCCTCAGAGATTCTCTGCGAAGCTGCTTTCATCGTCGCACCCTTCTTCATCCTCACGCGCGCGCGATATCGCGCGCATTAGAAGTGTGTATGTATATAATATATATATATATATATATATAATATATGTATATAATATATATAATATATATATAATTATATGTATATAGTTTACATTCAGCAAGTAGTTAAAGTATTGAAAAATATATATGTAATTAATTACAAATCTAATTATCATCCTCTTGTTAATTCATTTTACTTGGTAGAATAATCGATAGTTTGTTTTTTTGGATCTCTCTTTGTGTACTTTGTGTGTCTAATGTGTGTGTGTGTGTATCCATGTGATATCTCCATGCGCGTTCAGTAGTATCGAAAAACACGCCATTTTTTCTCTTCTCTCTTTCGTTCAGGATGATTCCGAGGGAAGGAGGACCGATTCAATTCTCGCGATGGCATTTCTCCGATACTCCTCGACGCGCATTTTACACGATTTTTTCGGGCTTCCCGCTGTCTGCTCTCGTCACATAATATCCATCGTATGTTCCGCCGTTATAAATGTAAGAATATATATTATGTCATTATATTGCAGAGTGTTTGTTTATCGCTACCTTACACGACGTTACCACGGTTATTTGTATTTTTTTTGCCATTTATTTAAAAGACAATATCGATCGCTATAGTTTATAGACACATGATACTTTAAAGACAGATTACCGACTTCATTTTTTTTTCTTATAAATTCTTATGTGTACCCGAGTGACTTCGAACGTATGTGTGTGTATATATATGTATGTATGCGCGTGCTTGCACATGTACACTCCTTTTGACCGTCTGTCTGTGTGTGTTCGTGGACCGCGTGTGTATTTTCTGTCTGAACTCTCCCTTTTAACGAATTACATTCATTACGGGGGTAATGGAAAACTATGCGTAACTTTTTTTTTCCCTTTGCTTACAAAGTGTTCATTACAATCGTATCGTAAAACGTATAATACTATATGTTTTTGTGTATCTCAATGTGTATGCTCTATCAGTATTAATTAGATCCGCTTAACTTCTCTTTCTCTTCCTCCCTCACTCTCTATTCTCTTTCACGTTGATTCGCGCCGCTCTATTCGCGCCCCGTTTGCGCACTTTACGCGTTGCGCGCGCGTTTCCTAGTTTTAATATCTCCCTTTTTTATTCTCTTGTCTCTTAGTTTCACTTTTGTTTTGTTTGTTTTAAAGAGTATACATCATGTTTGATTCTTTGCTAATCTGAGCCTCTCGTCTCAAGCCGAGATCCATTTGATTCGCGACTTATTGCATTGAGTTGCCACCCTTTACCGTTCTCTCTTTCTCTCTCTCTCTCTCTCTCGTTCCACCCTCGCCGTTTCGCATTTTGCGCTCCGTCTTCTCTTTCCGCCACCCCCTTTCTGTCGCCCCTGCGTACAACGCCATAGAATCCGTCGGAGCGCGAAAACTTTCGGATCGCGTACCTGACCGTAAGTCGTCGGCTTTTATAAACGCTGCCGCCGATCGGCCGGCCGGCCGATCGCGTTATTCGCATTCGAGTGCCATTCGACAGTCCGGACGAAACCCGTTTAAAGTCTGCGAAGTTTCCGCGGTCGCAATGATTTCGAAAGTTTCCGTCCATCGGCTTCCTTTCATCGCCTCCTCGACTTCAACCGTTGTCGTCGCCGTCGCCGTCGACGTCGTTGTGCCCTCCGTCCAAACTGCCAGCGAGGTGCGACCGCGGGCTGTCGAAACTTTCGCGATCTCGCGTCACGAAGAAAGAATCTCTCTCTTTCCCTTTCTCGCGTGCCCATCCGGGATTTCCTCTCTTATGCGAGAGACGTTACTTTCAGATCGCGACGCGAGAAAACACGACCGACGGATTTCCTGACCGGATCTGATTTTCGCTGCCGCGAGGCGCAAAAAAATCTACGCCGCTTGTATACCCAATCGTGCGCGAGCGATTAGAAAAATTATAAGAATAAACAACGTCGTGCGTGAGTTTTTGACGAGGCACGATCATACGCTGATGCGGGGCGACGGAAACGAGGAGTATCTGCACGTCGACGCGAAAAAAACAAGATATCGTAAGACAGACTTTAGATCGTTTGCGAAGCTCACTGACAGAACGCGGTGCGAAACTTGTCTCGATGCACAATGACTCGAGTGCGTATCATAAAAAAAAGTCGACATTTATATAAAAAAGAGCTACACTACAAGTCTATTTATAAAATCAATTTTATAAAACCTTATAAAAAGACATGTTAATATTTCAAGTTGACAATTCTTTCTAAGTTCAATATTTTTTACTTTGTAATAGTAATCAAATAAAATTTGGAATAAAATTATGATTTCGAAATATTAAAAAAATACATGCAACTATGTGAAATATAAGAAAATCATTGTAAAAGTCATATCGATGAGCGAATGTCGACACGCACTGAGGCACTATGCTGTAGTTCGTATTTTTTTTCCAGCGGCATTTCCCTCTGTTCCTTCGATCGTCTCTACCTTATTCGCATCACTTTCTCTTTAACAATAGCAGGTACTAGCATAGCTACCACAGTCGTACGTATCGTTATAATAGTTATAATTAGAGTTTAGATATTACTAAAGGGTTCTGTTCTTCATCAGCGTCTTCTCACGTCTACTTTAGTAGTTAAGTTCCACGGTTAAAACTTGTTTTCGCACCCCCCGACCCGTCCGGAGACCACCGACCTGTCGACTAAATCCCCGAATGTACGAGTCGACACAATTTGACTAAATTTTCGACTACAGTTTCACTTTGGACCGAGGTATCATATAAAAAACGATTCTTCAACCTTCCGAAATTCGCGACGAGAATCGAAAGTTTCGGCGCGTTAAGCAAGACGCAGGTCCGTTATTTACAACATTAATTTTTAGGTAATCGATCCGGGATTTAAGATCGGATCTCAGAAATCGTGAACTCGCCTCGTTTCTCGCATCGAATCCTTCGATTCGGACGCGTTCCGGGAAGGTCGTCCAACATCGATCCCGCTTCGAACCGGGCCGCGACCGGGTGCGAGGATAATTTACAAAAAGGCCTATACAAAAGTCCGTAAGAAAGAACGACTAAACATACAACATACCTAGAAATTACACGCTAGACATTTACACGCTACGGCTACAACGACACGCTACGAGAGTGTCGTGGGAAATTAGTGTCTATAAGGATAGGACGCGCGGACGCGGCTGATCGGTAAACGCGGGATCGATGCCGGAGTGTGGTCTCCGGATTGTTCTCGGGCCCTGTAGCCTTGCGTTTTGTCCCACGGTCACAGGATTAACACTTTTGAATACTTTTAGCACCTAGTGTCCGCGGTCCGCGGCTCGCGGCACCTCCGCCGCCGTTACTGTCACGTCGAACAGTCGCGGGACACTCGTCGGCGAGGCTCGACTTGCGAAGGGGATTAAATACATCGATAATACGCGAACGATAGAAGATTTATCGCAAAGTTAATTTCCGTGAAATTTTCAGTATCGAATTTCGTGCCTCGTATACAAACGTTACAACTCTCCTCTCGAGGATTAGCGTAATTATTAGCTCGGAAATTACGAGGCGTATTATTGAATTAATTCAAGCGCAGGAAATCGAAATAACCGCGCGCAACTAATATTCGGGGATGATCTTTGAGGCTGCAACACGGATGGAATATACAGAGCATGTTCATTTTAAAACGCAACCCATAATTCTCTTCTTTTGTATTATAGGCGATTTTTTAGTAAGGAAGACGGTTCTGACGTACGAAAGCGGAATTTTCGTTGTAAAGCGTTATCTCGGCATTTATTTACTTTATACTAAAAGTTTATAGTGACATAACATTACGAAGCGAAGCTTCGGTAGCGTTTTACGATGAACACCCTGTAGTTCAGGTCGATCTCTCGTGCCGACTAAAGTTAAATCGCGAAATCTCAAGTCTTTTAGAAAATCAGCATTAAAGTAGATTCGTTAAACTCCGGAAGATAAAATGACTGCTGCTGAAAATTTAGTGCGTGTCTTTAGAATGCATTGAAAGATCGATTTTTTTTGCGACCAAATGAGCCCGTCGCCTCGCCGACAAGGACAATAACGCGCGGCCTTTTAATTACGTAATCACCTAATTAACCTCGTGAACGATAAGCGACGACGTTGCTCCCTCGAAAGTATCCCACCCGCCGTTCATCCTGCTTCTGATTGACTCTCGTTAGCTTTGTACTTGACTTTTTTCTTTGTTAGCACCGCTAAAGCTCCGCGGACGATTCTGTTTGAGAAAAGATAGGGAAAAGATACTATCAAAAGGGATCGATTACATTACAAATTATCGTTAAGCCACTAATTAATGTTCTCACATTCGAAGTAATTGATCTTAATCGACGAAGATCTCATCAACCGCTTGAAAACTTGTTCTTGTTTGCGAGCTACTCGCGAGCGGTGCCTACGGCGATCGGGAAATAATTAGAAAGAGTTTCCGGGTTCAAAGTTTAAAAGTATAGGCGGCAAGGAGCGTATTGCCGAGGTTTAACGATTCGAAGAGGTTTCCTCGACAGCTCAGAGGGTCATCGACTCCGGATGTCAAATCGAAAGGTAATATCTCGAAAGGAAATCGATTCCCAATGGTTTTTCTGCGGCGGACGGGCGGGCGGGGACCAGCTCGCAGGCGCAGCCGAGCAAATATCGAGGGGCCTGCAACGAGGCCACTTACGTCCCTTGCGAACACACCGGCTGGCTCTTTTTCTATCTCGCCTTTTACTTCTCCTCCTCCCCTTGCACATCACGCGCTGCACTCTCTCTCTCTCTCTCTCTCTCTCGCTCTCGATTTTCTCCTACATTCTACTGCATTTATTATAAAAATAAAATGTAAAATCGTACCGAGGACGAGTTTTCCAAACGGTATAAAACTGCGAGCTCGTTTCTCTCTTTCTCTACATTATCACTATACTCGCGGAAGGATCGAACCTTCGTTCCTTGATCGCGTTGTTCCTTCTCGTTTTATTTACTCGTCTCGTGCGCATGAACGGGCCGTCTGCCGTAGATTTCTCGGTTTTTGCTCTTTATCTCTCAATTCGAAGGGTCCTCCGCGCGGGGAAAGCTATTCGCGATCCGATCTTCGATCTCGTTTAAAGAGCTTCGCGCCTTTACGTATTTAGTGCCTGAATAGCTTTCCGCGTTGCCCGGGATCGCATAGCCGGCCCGCGATTCTCGCGCGAAACGAAGCGACGCCGCGGCGTCGCCTCGTATCGGCGCCTCGATCGATGGAGAAAAAAGACTTTGGAAGACACCTTACCTTTCCGATCTTTTTTTTATCGGTCCACGGGTCTCTCGCTCTCCCGACACCGACGACGGCCCGCTCGAGCACGAGAATTTGAGGGACAAGTGTGTAGTTCCTACCGTTTCGCGAGAACCCGGTGAAGAGTGAGTGCATCTCGAATATAATACATAGGCTCTACAGATATATATTCATTATTCAATTCTCCGACTATATACCAGTGAAAAAATAAATTATTACACGTTGGTAATATCTGTGTGAGTCAATGTCGCGTATATGTGGTTTTCCTCTTTTTCTTTTTTTGTTTCATTAATACGTACGTGTGTGTGTGTCTCGTGCATGGGTAATACTCGCGTGTTGACGTGTGTGGTGATCTAAGTGTGCCCGCGTGGGTTCGTATTCGTATCGCATGTACGGGATGTATATAAGGGAAGATCGGTATAATATGTATATCTCTGTGTGTTTGTGTGTGTGTGTATCCCTATAATGTGTCGAGTGTATTTTTACTGTCCCAGATGCGCGCTCGACGCGTCGTTCGAATGTCCGCCGGTGTGCTACATGCGGTATAGGTATATACCCTTGCGCATGTGTTGTGTGTGTATATATATATATATGTGTGTGTCGTAGGTAGCCACACGATGGCTTCCATCTCGAACGAGCGTCTCGCGCCATCGCCAATCGAGTCCTTATCGGGTTTTAACACATATACACGCTCTCGTTAGCCGTTAGCCGCTTCCTTCCGTCTCCTCTTCTCTCTCTCCTCCACGCCTAAAACGTTTCTGCACGCACACGCTACCTCGCAACCAGGCGTACCTTAGAACCAAGCATCATCTCCACACGCATACACTATGTCGCTCGCTCGCTCGTTCGCTCTCTTTCTCTTTTTCTCCGTTATATCACGCTTTCTTTCCTCGTCTCGATCGCTTTCGTGATCGTCATCGGTGCCGATTGTTCGGCGGCTTGTTGTTCGCTCTTTCTCTCTCTCTTTTTCTCCGCTCTTTTTCTCTATCTCTCCCCCGTTCGTTATAATATATATACAAAGTATCTCGGACTCCTTGGATTAGGAAAGATCGAACGAAAGCGCGTTCTCTGAGAAGCGTCTGGATGAGGGAATCACGGGAGAGGACAAGTTGGGTATCGTCAACCGTAACCGGTGGACTCCGATCGGGAGAGGAGAGATAGAGTGGGACCGACTCTCGGGGCTGATGGACGTGTGTTTTCAGGAAGCCGGACTCTGGACAACGTCTCGACGACGGAGTCTCAGAGGTGACGGCTTTCTCTCCTTCTTGCCCGCCGCCGGACCAGCAGCACCGAAAACGAGAACGTTGTTACCGCCGCCGCGGGACGCGACGGCGGTGCTTTTAACGACTTGATGTGCACGCGCGAGGTATTAGTTGGCCACGAGCAGGTGTTGATATTGGCTGGCCGGGTAGGGCGCGACCGAGCCGAGGCCGAAATTGTTGAGGCCCTCGACCAGGGCGTTCTTGTCCTGCTGCTGCGCCGCGACGGCCGCGCCGGTGTTGACGTTGCCGTTGCTCGTCGCGGAGCCGATCGGGCCGAGGTTACCGGCGCCGGCGCTACCGACCCCCTGGGTACCGGCCCCGGCGCTGGTGGTGCCGTTTACAGCACCGCCGGTACCGGCGCCGGTGCCGTTCATGCTACCGCCGTAGAACTGATGGCCGGCCAGGGTAGTCGGGTCGAGGTACGATGATGGGAATTTGGTGCCGGCGTAGAGATCGGCCGGCAGGTAGCCGCCGTGGCTCGCCGACGAGTCGAAGATGTTGCGATGGGGGAATTGCGCGTGGTATGCCGCTGCGGCCGCTGCCGGACCGTGCTGGAAGAAGTACGCGCTCGGATCCGCGTGTTGCTGCCCGGCACCAGCGACTATGCTGCCGGGCGATAGGCTACGACTGCGCGGCGAGCTCTGCGAGACTGGCAATCCTGCGCCGGCCGCGGTCGCCTGTTGCTGTTGTTGCTGCTGCTGCTGCTGCTGCTGCTGTGGCTGTTGCGGCTGCGGCTGATGCTGCTGTTGCTGCTGATGATGGTGGTGATGGTGAATCTGCTGCTGCATCGCTGCGCGCTGCTTTATATAGTTTGAGAACTCGGTGGGCGACATCCTGAAACCGAGCGGTACCGTGCGGTTCATCAGTGGCTCTGTGTATACACGCGTGTATGTGTGGATCCGGGATTGGTAGATCGTCGCGGCCTGGTTAGTATGCGCGTTTTGTTCTGTCGTGCTCGTGTGTGTTTCGAAAAACGGGGGATGACGCGCGCGCTAAAATAAAATCCTATCGGCAATGTACGATAGATCGTACGGTTTGTTACGCGTTGTTCTCTAATTTCGAGCATGCTCAGCTATTTCTACGGTTATTTGCTTGCGAAGCGAACAATTATCCACCTAATGGCGATCCCACTGTTCAATTTGCTTTTTATACCGCGGGAATTGTAAGTGAAGTTAGTTTCTAGCGATGGTAAATGAAGATATACCTGAGACAATTGCAAGCAGCATTCCACGAATACACATACAGAATGTGTTATCTAGGAAACTCGAGAAGTGTAATAGCGAAAGAATATAAACGATCAGTTGTTGCAATATTTTTTTTAATGAATAATACTGCGTGTAATTTGTTAAATAATTTCCTTACCATTTTTTCAATATGACACTTCTCGAATAGCAACAAAATTTAACTATTTTGCATACAATTATGTTTATAAGTGAAAGAAATAATTATTTTCATTACAAAATCTTCCGTCGCATAAACTCGAGGTAATCATCACTTGGAAAATTAAGGTTTATTTGTATTCGTCATCAATTTTTGCACCGATTAATCATATCAAAACCATCCGTTTTTAAACGTCTCAAGCAAATAAACTTTATTTCCATAATGGCAGCAAAAAAGTGAAGACAAGCAAGCATTATTTTAAATGTTCAAAAGCTTTAATAATAAGTTGGATTTTCAATTTGATTGATTCGAGAACGGGAGGAAACATCAAAGGGCATGTACCAACCTGTTGGCGCGTTTGCTGCTAGTCTTGAGCTTGGTGCTGCCGAACTTGGTCTGGGCGAAGGTAGCGGTGGTGAAGGTGAGCGGGGCGGTGGTACGCGGGATGAAGGCCGGTACGGGGCTGGGCGAGCCCTTGAAGGAGCTGGTGATGGGCGTGGGTGAGGGCGCAGACGAGGAACCGGATCCGTGGCCGTTCTGCTGGTTGTTGGACGAGCCGTTGCTGGCGTTGCTGCCGAGGGAGCTCGAGAACGGCGAAGTTGACTTCGGGCTGAGGCTGAGACCGCTCAAGGACGTGCTCACGGCCTCGATCGGCCTGAAGCACTGCGCTTCCGGATTGAAGGTCTTGGTGACCTCGCGATCGGCCGAGGTCTCGTCGTGCGGGTCACCGGTCTCCGAGTAGAGAATCTTCACGGCGTTCAGCTCACCGATACGGTAGCTCACCTCGCCGGGATCGACCCAGACGGCGAGCTCGGCCGGCAGATTCTCCAGGATGTCTTGGATCGGCACGCCGCTCTCTTTCGCGGCGCGCTCCAGCACCGGATCGACCGGGTCGCCGGTCTTGAGGCACCTGAACGCCGAGCCTTTGAACGGCTTCTCCGGGTACCAGTGGCCCTTGAACTTGTCCTTGAGCGCCTTCTCGAGCTCCTCGCCGAAGATGTTGACCCGTCTGCGCGGCAGTTTATTGTAGAGGTAAGATATCACGAAGTTAAGCGCCACCTGCACCTCGATATGCATCTTGGCCTTCGGTGGGAGAATCTTTGGGCTGTTGTCGTCGCACGTAGCGGCCGCGCGGGGATAGCACCGAGGACGTCCGCACGATCGGCCGTCTTGCCACGGGCGAGGGATTGTTCCGGGTGGTGGTATATGTCTGGCTGACGGAGCTGCCGGATGCTGCCGACGCTCCGTGATCCGACAGCCGATTTTTCAACGCGCGCAGACTACCGTCTCTCCAGTTGCTACAAGTAGCGAATATCCGGGGATCTGCAACATCCACAAACGGAGAAATTATGTTAAAAGTGTACCGAATATTGATCACATCTTGAGGATTCTTCGAGAGGACTAATTTTCGATTTCTCTTTGATAAAAATTAACTTAAGATGTATATCTACACTCTCGTAGAGAATCCTATCGTATCGACGCGATAGTTGACAAATTCCATGCAATTTCAATTCAATCGCAAACGCACTACGACGATCTATTCTACTCCTCGGCTGCGAATCTTAATTACCCGCATCCGTCCCCCCTCGATTCGCAAATGAATGGCGAAGTTTGTTGACTGCCGAATAGGAATATCGCGTGGAGCGTCTGCTCGCACGCATTATCAGAGGCCGACAATAGGTCGTGCGCCCGCACCCGCACCCTTCCCTCTTCCCGAGTTGCACACAGAAGAACGGGGTGTTCATCGTTCGCGGAGAGGATTCCGTGCGGGGAAATCCGAAATCGCGTCGAAGGAACGCACTCGACTATCTCGCCTATGGAAAGGGTTCGCCTCGGCCGGCTCTCGGCCGACAAGCGTTATCGGTTCCTTTCACGAGCGAGGCTCGCGCATTGAAATGGAACACGGCTTCCGGTTACTCGCTCCCGCCGTTTCTCGACCTCGCACGCTCAGGGAACCGAGACAGAGCCGGCCCCGGATCGTTTCCCCCGCCGTTTTCCTCGCAAAGAGAACGGTCCGCGGGAGATAATGCCTCCGAAAACTCTGCGATTATCAACAAAAGGCGGATCTTCCGAGGATCTTTCGAGAATTATTCTCATTCATAATTTAACGAGGAACCAGTTTGCCCCTTCATTATCGCAAGTAACTCAATCCATCTCACGTGTATGAGGAGTTTAATCATGAGTTATTCTCGGTGAGGATATTATAGATCCATATCGTACATGAGAAATGAAATAATAATGTGAAATGTTTATTTTGCGAAGCAATATAATACGTTACGCTAAGTGAAATGAATGTTAGGCGATCCAGTCAAAGAACGATCGAAGATCGCTTTGTTGGCATTTATTATTTTCTTACGACCCAACTTACCGGGACTTGTACGCGGTATTATTTATAGAATAGACCAATTGAGTTTTATACGTGTCTACTTTATCTTCATTTTCGCTACCGTTCACGAGCCTGAATCAAGCTCTCGCAATTCTGTCATTCTTTTACGTTCCGTCGCGTTCTCTTACGTTCGAGGCTGTTTACGCGCGTCGCCGAGCGCACGACGCGTAAATTATGCACGCCGCGAAAGCGACGCGCGCGTCATACGGCGTTGGCCGTATAAAAATGTCCACGTCCGCAAACAGTCCTGTGTGACGCAAACGAGGGAGAAGAAACAAGGGGGTGAGAGGTGATAAAAGAGATTGCTCTTAGAAGCGACGAGATTGCGCAGGCGACTATCCGCCATTCACGAGCGCAGGCCGCCGCAATTGCGGAAGTCGTTCTTTCTCTGAATGGCACCGAGAGCGAAAGGTGGTTCCTCTTTTCTCGATATTTTCTCATTCTCTTACTCTTCTCTTTCTCTCTTTTCACTCTTCTCGCAGAGATTCTTAGGCGTCTATCAAGGACTCCTCTACGAGTACCGGGTATATCCGGCGACCTCGAGCTGAGAATCTCGGAACTCGATTGCCCGTTTTCTCTTGGCTTCTCTCCTCCAACCCGCCCGCGACGTCGCGGGGGAAAATGGAGCTTCATCCGAAATGGAGAGGAAGAGAGAGAAAGGGAAAAAGAAAGGCGAAAACCGCAAAAAAGTTTTTCACGTCTTTCAGGCCGGTGACCCTCCAAAGAAGCGAGACTTGGGTCGCGATATTCACTTCTACCAAGTTCTTCCACCTTTTCCTTTTACACGGATTTTATTTCTCAAAGTATTGTGTGTAATATAATTTCGTAATTATCATTTTTAGAGGAATTTAATGATTCAGAATTTAAAAAGCATTGGAAATTTTTCCTGGAGATAAGATACGGTGAGTTATTTCAATTCCAATGTGTATCTGTTCCGCATAAGATATACTGAAAGATACTTTCGATATTCCACCAGCTTGAAATAGTAAAATATAATTATTTAATGAAAAATTTGGATTACATTTACTATAAACGTTACAGGGATGGAAGCAATTTGCATTTCACGCGCAACGGCGCGTGAATCGCGATGAAATATTTCGACGGGGCAAGATAGCGGAAATGGGTTTTCCAACTTTCTTATCGAGAAACATTTCGTTGCACTCGGCGGCCCCGCGGCTCGTTTCTCGCGGGCGGCTTTACTCGGCGCGCATCTGCATCGCGTACCCGCATTTTTTCCCCCCCCGGCCTCTTCCCTGCACTTGACTCGGTGGCAAGTTTCCACCGGTGGCGGTGGGCTGCCGGCCAGAGGCGGTGGGTATGTAGGTTAAAGTTAGCGGCGGTCTTCCACTTCTCTAGCAGTAGTACACGACGGCGAGACGGGGGTGGTTGTAGGTATTGATCCCGCGGCAGGGTTGCCGGAAGGTTCTCAGGTTAAAAATATACGGCCTTGCGGCTCCCGTGCCTGACCAAGTGCCTCGCGAAGTGCCCGTAATTTCCGCTACCTTGATTTTCCCGCGATATTTCTCGACCGCGATGTTTATCCGGAGTTCGTCGAGTTTGACATTTGAAAAAACAATCGCGTCACATTAATCTTCCTATTCTTTCCCGTCTTTCTCTCCTTCCGTCAGCTATCTGATAAGAGTTTTACCTCATCTCGTGAACTAAGTTATATTTTCAACAAAGTAAAAATGGGACGAATTCAATTTTACGAAATTCTCATCGCTGCAGTTACGCTTATTTTATTATCGTCCGTGGAATTATCCACGAGTCGGCGAGATCGATTCGCGGCAGGTGTCAAAGTGTCAAAGGGATTTTTCTCAGCCAGTCTCTCTCTCTCTCTCTCTCTCTCTCCCTCTCACGGGAGTGCAATCGAGTGCTCGGTGGTGCCGGCGCCCTTTGTATTTACGCCGGACTGAATGGAGGTCGCGTGGTAGAAGAGGTGCCGATATGTGGGCCGGAGATAAAACGTCCTTCGGCGAACGAAGTCAATGGAGCGCGGGGGAGTTCCCCGGTACAGTCGACGAGTGATCCTCGATATTCTCGACGTGTGCGCGAAGCGGCGGGGCAACGCGTCGACACGCGATCACGCCGAGACAAAGAAGCGGCATACCCCCGGCTAATTATCCCGCTACTCGCTCGCAATGCGAGCGGCCGTTTGATCGCGTCGGACGTCGATCGATGCACTTGAGCGAGATACCCACGCTCGACACGTGAAATGTGACGTATCGCGGCGCGACAAAGACGACGCGAACAAGGTGATTCCACTGATTCCCGACGTCATCTCTACTCGACGTTAAGATGCTGATAAAAGAATAGTAATTGCTTGGTTATCTATTAAACGTAGATTGCAATCGAACGAAAGGATATTGTGGCTTGAAGGAAAAAAAAAACAATTTTTAGTAAAGAAGAAAAATATACCTTCAGAAATATTTTCTTAAGACAATAACGTTAGATGATTTTATCGGGTATTTTTATATATAGATTATATATCTGTCATTAGGTTGAAAAATATGTAGATCGGAATTATTACTTATTAGTTGGACTTATCTAGGAGATAACAGATTCGATCACGAGAAATAACAATTCCAGAAGTATAACATGCGAAGCTTTTTAGTTTTATAGATCTTTATAAAGAGAAGAGTATATTTACTGAAATTTTTTTATTAATATATCTTTTCAAATCATATCTCCTTTCATTCGGGTGAATAATGTAGGCTAGCAATTGTATATTATTTAAATAATTATTATTGACAATAAAAGAAATAAATATGCGATAGTTAAACGGTATATTCCGTTATTTAAACATCCTTCAACACTTACGTCTTATATACGAATTGTTCTAAAAGCAGAAACGAATTAACCGTGACAATAATTTTCCAAACTACGCACCTGACTTGCAAGCGCGCACCTGATTCCAAATGCCTGAGTCAATTATAGTAACACGAAGCGGCCTCCGAATTCAGAATTCAGCGGAATGGATTAAATTCGTCAGTGCGCGCGCTCAGCTCGCGTATATATATATATATATATATATATTCGCTTAATCGATCCCCGAAGAAACAGCGGCGAGAGAGAGAGAGACAGAGTGCGCGCGAGGGAGAGCTGATTTAATTACACCAGCCTGTGCAAATTGGGTCAAGACGACGCCCCGCCGCCCAACGACGTCCCGGGGCGTCGCCGCCCGTCCCGGGGGCGACGCCTGTATCCTTCAGATCGGATAAGAAGCGTCGTCGTCGATGAGGCTTTAAGTAAACACGCACGAGAACGAGAAAGGTCTGAGGTCGAGCTAGGAGACCCTATGGAGAGGGTGCGCGGCGTCGCGATCAATTCGTCGTTTACCTGTTTGAGGATTATTCCGGCCTACAAGTCAGAAAAGGTGGGATAGGCACGCGTACTTGCCGAGAGCGGCGATTACTCCACTCCGACGATGAATACGACGGGAGGAAACCGTGTGGAATCACGTTGCGTAACCCGTCCGCCCGGGTTATACAACGAATCGACCGTCGAGTCACGTGCGCGCATCGTAACACTTATCGTTGCAGTCGAGATGGTTAAAAAGCTCGCCCGATGAAGAAACGCATTCGTTCCGTAGATTTCTGACGACGGAATTTTCGTGAGTACCTAGACAGGTCTCGTCGATCAAGTGTCAGGCTGGCTCTATTTTTAATCGAAAGTGCTATTTCGACCGAATAGATTCAGAAAGAAATCGAACAGACTGCAGACGAGTGAATAATTTTTGCATTTATTCGCGGTTTAGGAATTATCTGGTTGGAGATATCAAGCGCTTTTTTGAAGAAAAACAAAATGCACACTCGGCCGTGTCTCTTGGAAAAACTTCGCATTTTCCTGCGAGCGTAATTACGAAGCTATATTTATTTATGTAGTTTTATTTTTGTCGAAACAGTTTTATCCGCAAACAATGGAGGAATCCCTTGCC